GTTTATTGTGTGTGCTCAAATTGTGCAAAGAGGGCATCTTTTCTCTACCAGTTTTGAAAGAGGAACTATGTCTTATAATACCACATTAACAGCTGTCTGAGAACATGCCACTACTGCTGATTGTCTGAAGTTGTAAACAGTTGTAAAACTTGATTAAAATAACCAAAGCTTTAACGTCAAACCCATTTAAGCATTCATATTTTTATTTAACAGCTGTAATCTGTTACAAATAAGTTTGTATCTTTTAACTAAACAAATGTCTTCCTTTAAAGATAGTGACAGTAGTAAAATATATTATAGGAAATGCTTCAGAATCTTTTAAGTCCTTATAAAGTGGGTAGAAATGCATAGTGGGGAAAAAAATACATGGATGGGGTGAGTGGTCATGTCTTCCTTTCTGATTATGATGCAACTAGGCTGTGGAGCTCGGAAGGTTCTGAAGTGTTGCCTTCTACTATCAAAGCCGATTGAACTTTGCTAAGCCCCAACTTCTGTGGGGCACGAGGACCTTGCAAATTAAGTCTCATTGACAGCCATAGGGGCTGGAAATTTGGGAACCTAACTGGGGCTGGAAATTTGGGAACCTGACTGCCCCTTCAGTGTTGTGCATCATCTTGATCAAGACTCTTCTCACTGCCCAGGACAGCACTGTCCTCTTGCAGCAAGACACAGCCCTTTTGCAGTCTTAAACAGGTAGGCTTCACTGTCCCAGAGATGAAAAATACATCCTATTTGGATTTTTACCATTTGGTCAGTTCTCAAGAAGTGAGCAAGGAAGGGGGGAGGGGAGGAGAAATAGCACAAAAATGTAGGCATTCATGTTCTGGAATTATGCTGTAAATAAGTTAAACTGAGCTATTCACATGGCATGTGACAGAGTTCAAGCTGATCTAGTAGGCTCAAGTGGGTTAGAGAGGGTGAAAAGAAATAAAAAAAACCAAAAAACACTACAACCAAATACACCAAGGGAAACTAGGCTACAGGAAGTTTGAATCTAAAGGCTCAGCATTAGATGAATTTTGGGTTGCTGAAGGATTTCAGAACCAGTGCTTTGAAGTTATTTATATTTCATATTACTACTAAAATAAACAAAGCAGTTCTGGCCTAGTTCCTTGTTGTGGCAAAAAAAACCCAATTAAAACTGCAGTATACTGATACCCAAAGAAAAGGTAAGTAAGTGTGGCGAATCATACTGTATGCAGATGTAGTGAAGTACTTAATTTTTGTTTTTTTTTTCAAAAATCTGATTTGCAGTACTGGTACCTAGCAAGCTAAGACAGACGTTGTAAAACGTTTTTTCTGCATCATTTAACTCTTCATATACGGGGAAAGAACAGGGTTTTTATTTCAGTTAGATCTATTGCCTTGACTTATGTAGCATTGCTGAATTTTACACCTATTATCAGTTACAAACTAGACTACTAAATCAGTGTGCTTTTTTGATTGCCTCTACTAAGTTACTTTATCCACATTTATTAAAAGCTGTTAACTAATATAACTAACATTCACCCATTAGAGGCCAATTAGTGTACTCAAAGCAATAGCAGTAGGAATGAAGTGAAATTCTAGTCTTTGTTACACAGATTTGCAGAGATGTTTTTAATTACCTGTTTCAGCTTTATACATACGTGCTTTTACTTATCAGCCTTCATCTCTATTTAACTTCTATGAAAAAGGAACTTTTACTTAATCAACACCTATGTCTTGAGTATGTGATTTTTGCAGTTCATTCTATCTTTGCATAGTCCCAAATCTTAGTTCTATGAAATCTTCCAGAAGACATCAAGAAAGAGAGACTGCCAAATGCAAGGCTGGCAGGATTCTCAATACAGAGTAAGCAAGTTTCTTGTACTGTAAAATAACTCAAAAGCTTCAAGCATTTATCTGTCACCCTATTTGTTAATGTCATCTTTTGACCATAGGAAAAAATAAAAATCTCATCTCTAGCACCGTTACTTTTCCTTTAGTTCCGAAAGAAATTATCCTGATAAAGAACTTGGACAAAAAGGATAGAAGCCACTTAAAATGAAGAGCATTAGGCAGTATTGATACAGATTGTGCTCCCTCCTTCACTTCTTAGAGTAAGAGCAGTTGGTTTCAAAGTTCAAGTACTCCACATGCAGTACAGTTACTGCAGTACTTCAGCAATTCCACCCTCAGCCACTGCAGAAGCTGCTGTGGCAGCAGTAAGGCAGAGTGATCCTTACACACATACTCAGTAAGCTGAAGGCCTAAGGAATGCATGTCAGCTTAGCAGCACGCCTCGTTACCTTTATTTCTCCTCAACAGAAAAGCTCTGTAGCGAATAGAAAAGCTCATGCTTATTTTTGAGTTTCTAAGACATTCTTAGATGTCTGCAGCACACATCAAGGCCATACACTGTTTATAAAAAAAGTTATTTTTGTGCCATTGCCCTTTGTGCTCCGAGGTCAGAAAACCTTTTCTGTTATGAAATCACATAGTGATTCATACAGTGAAGATTGTCAAAAGTGGCAGTATTCAAGGAGAGCAATACTAGTTTAGATCAAAACTCGAGCAAATCAGAAGTCCAGATACCATATTAAGTCCTACTCTCAGAAAAGAGCCTGTGGAATACCTTGAAGATACACTTGGTTGGGTGTTATAGTAGTCTCAAAAATAATCTTTAAAATTAACTAATTACTTTTTCAAACATGCCGTAATGTCAGTCATATCTTTTATGTGTAAATGAAGACTAACTCCACAGTTAGGAAGGAGGAACAGAGGAACGTTTCTTAAGACAACTGATGTTAATAGAAAACTAATAACTTTATAAGTTTTGTCTAGCAGCAGACATCATTTGAGCTTCTGAATCTTCACATTCTAAAGGGTCAGATTTCAGTACATAATACTCAGCCCACAACATCAGTAAAAATTCTGACTTCATATTAACAAACTTCATATTCAGAGGATTCTATTATGTGTATTTGCTTTTTCTATTGCAGCTCACAACTTAAATCCTTTCCCCTCATGAATAACCTGATACAGTCATCATGGCCATGAAACTACGGAAAGAATTCTCCCAGGAGCATAAGGCCATTCAGAGGTTCTTGTTTACAGCAGTCCATTAGAAAGACCACCTTTTTCTAGCTCACTGAAGTGTTGCAATGACTAAAAAGAAATTAAGAGCTTGCTTAAGAACTCCCAATTGCCCTCCCCTGCCTTCAAAGCCTAATTTCATCCTTTTACCTGCTTTCTTTCAAGCCTGTCTCTTGATACTTACAAGTGATTATCTTTTGCCTACCTATAACCTTTTTGCACATTTGTGAACATGAAGAATTTCTTGCTCCTAATAAATACGTTCCAGTGTAACTAAGTCATCTAATTTCCGTACACTACCCCAGCATCGCTTTCTTTACTCCTTCCCAAACACTTGGCACAAAAATGCATTTGGAATTAGCAGCTACTCCTCTCACTGAAGGAACAGGTTAGTCATTTAGCACTTAGTCCATACTTCCTCATATGACAGAAAAGGACGTTGGGAATAGCTCAAATGGAGGAGCATCAAGCACCCACATGTGCAAATTACAGCCTAACATAACCACTGACCTGAACCTAAGTTTACAGTGAAGTCCTTTTCTGAGTTACTCCATTCCAGATCGTAACTGGAGACTCCCACTTGGGAACACTTCAGAGCTGGATCATCTGCAAAGCCCTTTCTGTGCAGGAACAGCCTGTTCAGGTGACACTGGGATGGCTGGGGACAGGTCCTGCATGCCCATCTATAAGTCACTGTTCTCTCAACTTAATGCAAAGACAAGGGCAACTCGCTCCTCCACCAGAGACCAGGAAGCTCCTAATGAGTGGCAGGTAACCACTCAGGTGAATTTATTTCCTTTGGACTGTTTTCAGGATGCATTAGGTCACTCCTTGTTCCACCACAGCCAAGAGACCCTACCTTTCTCACCCAGGGTGTTATGATGGTTTACACCTGAGCAACATCAGATGCAAAGCTGCAGTCAACCTGTGAGTGTTCTCGATGACAGTACTGGTGACAGCAGCTGAAGCAGATAGACCTCACCATTGTATCAGGAATAATTTAATGTAGTATATAGAACAGATTAACAGCACCAGTACAAGCTTACACTTTGGCTTACATTTTTGGCTGGACTGGACAGTAGTGATTCAATGATGACAAATATAAATTCTTGCCTGGGAAGCTGTAAGCATGTTAGCAAAAAGGTTCAAATATATCAAGTAGCCGGACTATCAGAGAATCAGAGAAATCATCTTGACAAAAGCTGAAGTTTGCCTCAGAAACCAAAGGTAAACTGGTTTCCATCAAGATACATTCAGCCTGGCCAGAGACCACTGACAGTGTCTACACTTGCAGAGACAGGAGCCTGAAATGCTTCAGAATGGGCTGTACCACATGCACAAGTATCTCTTTCTTCTTCCTGGTATTCTACAGTTCAGTGCACTTAGGAAAAGCCCCATGGGCACTGCAGCTAGCCATATTAAGAGAATATACCTACACATCGCTGTGTACACACACAGGTGGGAATCTATATAATTCACAGTTTAGTTACAAATTGTGTTAAGTGCTTGGACACAGCAATCAGAATGAATTACACATGAATTACGTAACTAACACTTGAAACAATTTAGTTATCAGGAAGTCACCCACCACTTCCCAAGTACTTCAAACCAGACACGTACAGTACCAGCATTCAAAAGAAAAGTGTCACACTTCCTCAGCCTGCCCTTCTAGCTTTTCAAGCTGCTTCATTCTGAAGGGACTAGAGAGAAACAACAGGACCCCACAATCCCACAAATATCTTGCAGTTCCTGGTTACTACCTTTCCTCATCAATATGCGCTCTCTCAATATGGCTCACTCCGAAGCAGAGCCCTGCTCACCTGAAAGCACATTTCAGCACAGTTTAGCAGTGACTACAGAAGAACAACCCTTTTTAACAAAGACAGCATTAAGAACAACTATTTCTATAAAGATATAGGAGAAAAGGTACCGTGGAGAACTCCCAACAAGAAAAGTAACAAGGTCACTTGAGTTTTAGCAGAATCAGGAGGCTTCTCTCTGCCATCTTGTACCTCTGGCTGATAATCAGTAGAAGACAGTCAACTCTCTGTATCTTTCATTCAAAAAAAAAAAAAAAAAAAAAAAAGGAAAAGCAGGTTTTATTTGCAATGTATGCAGTGTCCTGGCAAAAGAATACAGTCAGTGTATTACCCAAGGTGAAACTGTGACCACCTCAGACAGATGACTGGTGTAGACAGGGAAGCACCCCACCAGTTAAAAAAGATAGGAAGAGTAGCACAAAGTGGAGTTCAAAAGCAGACCCAACAGACACGTAACAGGTCCAGATTCCATCTGGAAAAACGCAGTATGACTCCCTTTAGAATAAATCACCAATCTACCTAATTATCATCCACGGATCAAGGCAGTGAGACAAACAGATAAACTTTCCCTGTGCAAATGGGCAAGCTGAATCTCATGAGACATGAGTGACAAAATCCACTCAGCCACAGCTAGACAAGATTTAGTTGTCTTACTCTGGATGGCTGTATGCCAACAATCATGGCCTAAATTACAGTCTTCAGAATTCATGTTTTGAGACACACAGAACACAGCTCACAGGAAAGCACCCACACCACACACAACTCTGAGATTCAGAATGAGTAGGGAGAACGCTCCTTCTGAAGAGGGCCCTAGAAACTGAATTACAACATTTAAGCTATGGCCAGAAAGATAAACTAAAGAGAATCCTAACCCATTTTGTAAGGTACTTACTGATTCAGAGAAGATTAAAATACAAAAAAAGTTCCCCTCTCCAATCAAAAAAAATATGCCAACACTAAGCTAAGACTCATCTAAGACAGACCTTCTGAAAGATACTACCAGCAAAACACAAGGTAAAGTTCAGGTCTCGTTATTGCTTCAGTCTGTGGTAGAAGAATAAGCAGCACACATTTCCCTGCAATATCATCAGGAGAAGTGTGATTACACACAAGAGTAAACACAGGGCAAATCACACGCTTGGAACAATATGAAACAAACAGCCAAGCAAGGTCTGAGCAAGTCCAAAAATTTTTGTGCACTGTCCTAGCTAAAGCAGACAGGAAGCTGCCTCTGTTTTGAGGCCAAGAATATACTGGTTTTAAATTTTATTGCCTTAGTTTCCCTCCATGCTGTAACAAATAATAACAAAACAGAAGGATGACAAATCCTTACCTGTTAGCAAGCAAGATGTAGAAAGTAAATGACAAACATTAAAAACTTTACCAAAAAAAGGCATGTTGCTGCTGCAATAACTGCTATTTTCCACCACGGTTTGGGAAACAATCAAGACACTTTTATAATGAAACTCAAAAAACCACTTATACTACACTCGAAAAAGCACTATTTATTCTGAGACAGTCAGAAGTGAATAAGTCTATTAATAGAGCCAGTTATATACAGTAAATACTTCCTGATATAACTGTATAAGACATGTCAGAAAACAAAAAAATCTCCAAGGATATTAATGCCAATTTAAACAGGAAAGTAAGTTTATAATGAATGACAGTAACAACCTGATTCGTCTTCCTCACAAATCTTTCTCAACTCCTCAGTGGATTTCACACACAAAGAATGAATGTCACAATAAGTTTCCACAGAAGTATGTGGATGACAATACAGAACTCACTGCTTTCAAGAGGTAGATACAAGGCTTAATAGGTGCAAAAATGTAGACTTCACTCAAGAGCATGGTCACACTGGACTGCATGTGCAATGACATGAGATTGTTTTAACTACCCTGCTGTGACTGCCTGTCAACTCACTGAACAGGGGGAATGCTTGCTTAATTAACAGCAATCCTAGTCTAGATGATGGCTTATGCTTTTACTTAAATGGAATAATCTCGCTATAAATCTAGTAGAGGGCTTACTTAAAAATTACTTAAAAATAATGCTTAGCTGGTCAAAAAGGCATGATTCATCCACTCTGCCAGGTGTGAAGAGGCAATGAGCTCCTGCATATTTTACTGGTCAGTCACTTTCAAAACATACTCCTGCTTGAGTGAAAGTCCTTTATCAGAGAGGTCCTGAGGGTTAAATCCATTGCCCTTTGATATCAACTGACATCACTATTCCTCAGTTTCAAGTGACCGAGCTTCCAGCCATTTCGAAGAGCACTGGAATGTGGCAGTGTGCAAGCCCTTCAAAATAAACTTATTTCATACCAATTGCTGCTAAATACACTGTAGGAACTCAAATCTGTATGAAGGTATTACACTTTAGTCCACGTTGCAAATGCACTAAAATACCTTTACGTAAAGAAGACTCAAATTCCACTGCATGCAAGTCAAACTTGATTAAACAGGTTGGGTAACAGCCTTTCACAAGGGTTCTCCCAGTACGCTCAAACCTCCATAAGGCCACGTGAGCAGCATATCGACAGCAGCATTGACAAAAGATGGCAAAAGGGTGCATGTGCCTGTGTGTGTGTACACACACCCACAAAGCCCCTTCCCCCCGCCAAACACACCTCCAAAGCTTTCCCTTTAAGTTCAGGATTCCTTGTACAAACAATGCAGTTAGTGGTTAAAACGCACCCTGCACTTCCTCAAAACAAGCTCCCACTACCTCAAAGCTCACCTCCCACAGAAGCTGTAAAAATGAACAATAGATGCAACAGTAAGGAAGAACCCTCAAATCAGCTATAGGTAAGCCAACCTAGTTTGTCTCTAATGCACCCTTTAGTTAGACAGCAAACTACAATGAAGGGTGAATTCCACTCACCACTTCCCACATCTCCACTCAACTCATAAATGGAGTGGGACGCAAAATATTCCCCTTTTTTTAATTTTTGAGCTCAGTATGAACTGGATAGTGGACTGGTATGACAGTTGATTAACAGAAGGACAAACACTAGAAGACCGAACTGCAGGCAAAAGGGCTGAAATTCAATTTCAACTACTATGTTCTCCAGTTTTCATGGATATGTAAAGCTAGATACATCAACCTGTTAGCAAGGGACAAACAGCTTCATTGGAAAGGACAAAAGTTTTACGCCTTAAAAGTATCAAACTTACATAAACCAACCTGTTGCTCGCCTGTATTTGAAATTTCTATTTGACTGCAATTCATGTGTGGAAATGAGCATTTTGTTTCCAAAACCACTTGTTTAGTAACAGATCAGAATGTAACAAGAGAACAGCTGCCAACCTTAGAGCTAACATACAAAATGATTTTGGTCAAGCTGATCTGGAAGTAACTCCGAACGGAAGAAGAAACAACTTAGAAACTAACTGGATACCATCAATGAAGTACAAATAAAAGGGCAACCATAGTTACCAAGTCCACCTGTGATAATGTGGGTTTTGCCCCTCAATTTTCACACAACTGATCAGTTTGCAGGAATTTCCAACGACGAGTGCATTGAACTTTGCAGACAATCCAAGAGAGAAAGCAATAAGGGCAATGACATACATGTGGGTTTTTTTATTTCTGTATGCAATGTAATGTTTAGGCACGTTGCTCGGGACGCCTTCTAAAATAAATCATTGGCCATTGTTTAGAGTATCCTTTTGGCTTTAAATACTGGTCAGGAAAACAAATGATGTAAAAAATAAATGATTACAGAAAAAAAATGGATTTGCATCTGAAAGTGCAGGAGTATTTTAACCCTTTCACCAGACAATGTGGCAATATACAGTATATTGCTTCTGTTTGTTTGAGAAGGCTGTTGGAATTTTACACTGACATAGAAAATTATAAATTACACAGAATTAGTTTCCATAATCACTATATATATACACAAACCAGCTGTGAAAAAACTGGTTTAGAACATACAAATGAAAGCCTCACACAGATCAGTACAGTGAAATTAACAATTAACATGCTCTGCTGCCAAAATTTGTATTAAAAACACTATTTACTTTTAAAATGCATGTACTGTAATTACATTAGCAGCACGGGCATTTCATTTACTTGACTTGTCTAAAAGGATTATAGCGTTTTAAATACGCAGATTGTTCTGAAATGTTCCATTGTATAATGCTTGGTATTGAAACTAAATCTTGGTGAACTGTTTAAAAGGCAGGTGAATCACTTAAACACAACAAGCCATGTGCACTCCAAATATTCTAGTGTTTCACCTGTAAGGTATTGTTTCAAGCAAACTAGACTTAACAGAACATATGGCTTTACAGTAACATCAATTTGTCAACTAAGCTGTTGCAATAAATACTTAAAATCTCTACCAATAGACTTACATTTTTTGATCTGTTTTGAACAATACAGAAAACAATTACCAATTAAAAAACCTGTTGTAAAATGTTGAACACCAAAAAATTCTTATTTAAATCACTTTTGTAAGCTAAAACAACCAAAATAACATTTATAGGGCATTTCAGTTTCAGAAAAAACATGAATTTTCTTTTTCTTTTTTACAAGGTGAAAAATGTAAGAAAACTGCTAAATACTTTGGTCACACTAATCGTCAAATAGTTATGTCTCAAATACATTAGATTTTTGTATTCACTTTTTTTATAAAACTATTCTTACAGCCATTTTAACTATAGTAACACTACTGTCATCATTACATGGGTAGCAGGATCTTATTTCACAGGCTCCCCGTTATTTAGAACAATACAATATAAACATACGCAAAAATTATTGGTATTTTTCAATGTGCAATATTTTTACACTTATGAATTTCTGTACAATGTCTTAAAATCTAGAATATAAATGTTGCTGGTCCTGATTCCTTGCGAAATTAGTGCAGCAGTGACTGGCTTCAACAGGGTCTAGATGAAATCCTCAAGAAACACTTAAACACCTGGACATCAGTTCTTCCTCTTCAGCCAAGGTAGCAGACATCACATATCATACAGGGCCATTAACAGATGCCTCTCCTAAATGGGTGTGTTGATCAGTCCTAAGAGGCCAAAAAATGATGTAAGTATACCAGACAGGTTCAAAACAAATTCAGGTAGGCACAATAAAAACCAAACCAAAAAGCAATCCCAGATCATGTGTAGCATAACCCGCGAACTGAAGAGAGGGAACGTGCTCATGACGTCCTCCTCTCACTTATTTTCTGCAGTCCAGCATTTCTGGAGTCTTTACTGCCTAATTAAGCACAGCACTCAGTTA